TAGCTCTTCTAAATCAAAGACACGCTGATTTTAGAAAAGTTAGTTGAGACAAACAAATATCATTTTAGATATGAAATCAGCTTAGTTTGCTCTAAAATAGTAAAGAAGGGAACATCAAGTGTTTATTTACAGATAGAACTTTCACTGGTAAACTCAAATCAGATAAACAAGGATTAAATTGATGGTTTGCATTCTTTAAAGTGGGTTTCTGCAGAAAGGCTACACTGTAAACCCAAATGTTGGAAATAATCAAATATAAAATGTTGGAAATAATCAAATATATTGAGTAGGTGACACTCATTAAAAAATTATTTATAGAACACAAATGTGTTGAGTTAGTTCAAACTTTTCCTTGTTTTAAGTACATAGAACTCCAATTTTTTTATTCATCTGAAAAATAATTTTTTTTGTGAGCATAACTTAAATAAATCAGTAAAGAACAACCTAACTTGATCGAGTAATGTGAATTAAAAATATTAATTTATAATTGTATGTTTATATATTATTCGATTCATCTTTATGTCAACTTAAAGTGTGTCTGATAAACAGACATATATTTCTTAAAATATTTGTAGATTTATAGGAAAAAACAAGCACAAACAAGCAATTTAGGTGGATTTCAGGCACAACAAAGAACTGGTGGGTGAGGTGCATTGTGGGTAGTTATGTTTTTAGTGTTCTGTTCTATTATGGGGTGTTTATGCATACTTATTGTGGGGCATTGTTGTTCTTAGTTATTACTTCATTCAGTGGTGAAAATGTGGTGTTACTTTTTGTATCATGTTGGCACCATAAGTGAGGAGGTTGGTCAAAGGAATCACCACCCTGTGCCGTTCCACTTTAATTAATACTGTGGTGGTTCACACGAGATGTTCTTAACTTGGCTTTGGATGCTTCACTCTCACCTGTTGGATTAGTGAATCATGCCCTGAGAGTAACTTATCTCGGTTAGTTAGTGATGGGAATTGGTTCTTTTGGCTCAGTTCACCAAAAAGAGCTGGCTCTTTCGGCTCCCAAGTGGCTCCTCAGATTTTCTGTTGCGCAGAGTACATTTATAACCAAAATAATGCTAAACTATATGTAAAATAATGTAAAAAAGCAATATATTAAATATTTATCATTTCTATGGATTTAATAACTGAACACTTTAAGAAATCTCCACTTTCCGACTGCTGGCGCTCATTTTCTCACCGTCTTCGTCGCGCTCTCCTCCCTCGCGCTCGCCTTTTTCCTCCTCCTCATTCCCTCTCGTCTCCCTCCTTCCACATGTGCTCTGCTGTGTCTGTCTGAGTCTGATCCTCCCTCTTCCCCGCCCCTACTGCTCTGTGTGTGGACAGTCTGGACACACAGTTACACATGTTGACCAATCGCCTGTAGCTTTCACCAAGGCAGGGGGGAAGGGGGGAGGGGAGCGGACGGTTCCCAATGACGAGCCGGCTCTTAGAGCCGGTTCGTTCGCGACCGACACATCACTACGGTTAGTGTAGTACAACATTTTTTTTAGTTATATCAACTTATCGAATTTGAAATTAAAAACATTAACATTTTGAGTATATTTTACAAATATTATGAGTTGAAAAATGTTGAAAATCTTGAGTGAAGTACTCCCAAATTATAAGTTGAGGAACATCAATATTTATAAGATGGCATTGAGATAATTTAAGGCAACTGCAAATGTAATTTTTATTTTATGTAAACTTTAAACATTTAAAACATCACTTAAATGCTTTTGTGTAATCTGTTACAAAATAATTTTTGAGTTCTGTGAACTTATTAAAGTTTACAGTGTATCAACAGTTAACATTTTAAACAAACTCAGTTTGGAGAAACAAAGAATACTTTCAAACGGATTGATATGCTAATAGATAGACAGGGTGGGGCCACAAATAAACACACTGCATTTTTATTTCAGCAGAAATACAATCAAACTCCCTCAACATACAGACATACTAGCTAAACTAGCCGTTGCGAGCTACAGTAAACAAACTAAAACAAATTGGGTTAGACAAGCCCAAGTTTATTTATTATTTATTTATTATTTCTACATGTTGTACAAATTGTAAAATGTTCAAAAGACATTGTGTAGATTTTACCGTTAATCTCCAGAAATGTCCATCAAAATGTTGATGAAAATGAATAAAACAATGTCAAGTTGTTGAGAAATATTGGTGGCTCTATAACATATAACCATAAAAATCAGGTCTAAAGCACATAGGGCGCAGGTTTGGTGTCTTTGGGGGACGCTGTGCTTCCTTCTGGCTGGCTCAAGGTCCTGCGCCTGTTAATGATGTTGCACAAGATGATTGGCTTGATGTACAACTCACGGAAGTTACGTTACCACGTTCAAAAACATTTAGGCAGTAACAAACATAAACTTTATAACAAAACTGCTAAACTCTTTCCAAAACATGTGTGAAAGAACAGAGACTAAAAAGACATGCAATATATTTTGGCCGAGTGGCATTGCCGTAAATTGATGACGTCACTGGCAGGCGCAGGATGCCAAGCAGATCCGGAAACTACAGCGCCAGAAAACTACAATCAGCATTGCATTCTCTCATTGGAATTAACTGAAGGACCATCAAAGTCTGAGGAGTCACGCCGAGGTCGCATGCTTTCTGCTCCACAGGTAACAACTGTAATGTTTTCTTTAGCAACCGTCACAGTGACATGATGTAAAACTACCCTGAAATGTAGCACCAGGAAATTACACACTGTCTCTTTAAACATGTAATGAACGTAAAAGCTACTTCTGTGAACTAAAATGTAATAAAAATAATAGCGATGCATCAAAAATACCCACTGCAGAAGCTCAAAACTAGATATTTTATTTCCTTTGGTCTGTGCGTGCATCAATGCCAATTAACAGAAAAAAGTTCTTGAACACAGCATCACTAGGTGCTAGTTCCCACACCACTTAACAGTTATCGATAATTTAAAAAATACTGCACAAAAAAAACGGAAAACACACTGAATGGAAGGTGCTGCGGCTAACTCGAGCGATATTTCCTAATTAAGTTTCGTTAATAATCGTGGAACGTGGAACTGACAGAGATGTAACTTTTTAAAAAACAACATTTTCCATCCATTTTGGCCTTGGGCTTGCTCGGGCTAGCAGTTAGCATGTCAATCTGGTCATAACTAATCTTCATTTTTTTTCTACTGCAGTCATTCTGTGAAACCTGTTTCATAAGAACTGAATTATCTCTTTTAAGTGAGCATGCAAACACACCTGATTATGTGTATTTCTGCTACCAGGACGATGCGTGCCTGAAATGATTAAATGTTTTAGAAGCTTAGTTGGTGACCTTTGTTTTAGGACTGCGCTGTAGTTGTCTCAGAAACATGTGGGGTTGTTTTAAAAATGCTAACAGCACTTGGCTGTACAGCGATTTTCCAAAGTGCCCTTTGTAGCTGGCATGCAGAAACCCATAAGTTCTCTCTACATCCCATAGGTGTGTGTAAAGTCAGTGTTGTACAATCAAGAGTCTGTTCGTTTCTTTAACAGAAAGTATTTTTCTGTGCGAGGACTTTTTCTGAAACATTTTACTACATTCATTAGAACAGTTTTGCCTTCAATTACTAGTAATCATGTGTTTTTAGTATGACATGTTTGGAATTATTATGCTAAAATGTACATTTTGCAAATGCTGTTGAATAATTGAAAAACTTTTTTAAATCCAGTACCTTTTCATAAAATAGATGGAGACAAACCACACTTATCCACATATCTTTAACTTATTGTTCCATTTTCCAGCCTGTTCACTGACTCCACTCTTCTCAAGTCCTTTTTGTGGCTATTTCTTTGTAGTTTTTAACACAATAACTCTCCAAAACAACATTTGAAGCTCACAAAATGTTGAAGTGAAAAGTTGTCTCTATGTGCACTGTCCCACATTCATGAGCCACTGAAAGGAAATTGCGACACACTTTCCTGTTTATTATAAATTTTCCCAGTCCTTTTACTTCCCTTTTTCCAAATGCATGATTTTATAAGCAAATTTGAACTTTTCTTCAACAGAACCAGAAAAGTAGGAAAACTTTGATGTACAGCTTTGAAAACAGATTTGTAGAACAGAAAATAAATGAACACATTACAGACATTTTTGTCCAGACACCACGTGGCTTATCTTAGGTGGGCAGAATAGAAAATATAAAAGCCCAAAAATAAAGCAGGATCAAACCCGATATGAAGGTTTAAATATGAAAACGAGGAGTAAGGAATGGACCCTGAATCAACAGGAAAACTGAGAATTAGAAAATGTTTTCGGGAAGTTAGCGAAAATACATTTTACGAAAGACTTTTTAATAGTTTTCCGTGGAAAGATTATGAACAAGTAAAATCTTAATGGTTGTAGATAGCTCTTTAAACAACCTCAGTTTGGAGAAACTGAGATTGGTTTTGACCAGATTGATTGGCTAACAGCTAGTCTGAGCTGGGGGCAGTTAAAAAGACTTTAACAGTTCATGTGAATAGTATTTTATCAATGTTTTTGTTTCCACAAATTTCACATTTCATGCAAATTACACAGAATTCTGTGATTATTTGTTTCAGACATGTGTACAGTATGAAAATTCAATAATAATTTTCCCAGAAATTCCATGAAAAGTTAAATTTAAAACAGCACCTGTGTGATTTGATATGGAATTCTTGAGAAACTGATTGTTTTAAAGGTCCTATGTCATGCATTATTAGAGGTTTTGACCATGTTATAATGTTATTTCCTCGTGAATAACAATCCCAAATATTTTCTTTTTGCCTTCAAGCATTCAATTCCCTGTCTTAGCTGCAAATCATCCACTATCTGCCCAGCAGTTGCAAAATCCCGGGGTTGTTGCTGTGTCATCACGACCCGCTCCTCCACATCCAGGCAGTCTGAGATGTTGGCCTGAACCTGCGGACTCCGGGTCTTCAGCTGTGTACCGTTATGAAATTGACATGGTGGGAGGCTGGGTTTCATTCAATACATTTTCCGTTTGAGCAAATGGCTCAAGGGAATAACTTATATTTGATGAAAAATGGAATCTCAGCAGTGCCACCAGTAAATTATTTTATCAGATATTGTGTCTACCATTGTTCTGGAAAGTGTAAAATAGCATGATACAGGCCCTTTCAGATGGTACAACTGGCCCAATTTAGATTAGCAGTTAGCTCTCAATAATCTAAGTTTCTTCAAACTAAGGTTGATCAAGGAGCCATCAGCAGGCATAGTTCATGACCTTTCTACACAAAAAAAGACCTGAAATGTTGTTTTAACTTTGCACAAAAAAGTCCTTAACTTACACTGCGTGGGTTTTTCAGTAACTTAAAGGTATATTTTGATCTCTGTGTTCATGAACATAGTTTCAGAATATGAACAAAATTTCAAAACAAAGACCAAGAAGCAGGAAATAAACAAAAAGGGAGTAAAATTTAAGATTGTCTGTTAATTCCTTTACAACACACGATTGTGGGACATTTCCAAAGCTTTGCACTCAAGAAAAGCAGCAATAATGACATCAGGATTATGCCATAAAACCCTGTTTTCTTTGTTTTTGTTAAATGCGTGTAGGCTGTAGAGGCCCAGTCATTTTAGCTCACACTCCTCTCTGACTAACACAGCATTTCTGCTTCTAGCTGCTTCTGAGTCCTCAAGTGCGTCTGTAGAAACGTTCAGGGGGTGTCTCCTCCACGTCATCAGCTGTGCCAGAGAGGCCGCTGATGAAAACTGTGGCAATGTTCTGCTTGCGTCGTATGAAGGGCGCCATTAGTCAGCCTTAAAGAGACAAACTGTCTCTCTGGAGCTATTAATAGGCACACAGGCGGCCTTATATTCCCTGGAGAACGCTGACCACTGGAGTGTTTGAAGCCAGCACCCACCCCTAAGAAAATATCCCAGTTTTTCTGCTCATTTCCTCCCCACCCTACACTCTGCAGAAAGCCATGTACTGTGACAAATTGTTCAGAAACGTTATTTTTAGCCTTGAGCAACCAAAGCCTTCTATATGTGACCGGTGCAAAGAATCAGAATGTAGACACTGCCAGGGCAATGAAGCTGAACCAAGTTTTGTACCCCGATCAGGTGAGAGTGAACTTCTCTGAGATGTTTGGCCATTGAGTCATCCATCAGTTATTGGTGCACAGCTGGTTTAACACATGAGTAAAATGTTGTTGTCTGGTTTCACTGAAAAATAATTGTGCTACTCATCATTTCACATAAAGGTGAATGTTGGTTTTCTAACAAAGCAAAAGTCAGTAGTCACTGAATTTCTGGTCATTTTTGAAGGTTGTGGAAAATAAGTAGGGATGCAACAATATCACTTTTTTTCAAACCGATACGATACCGATACTTGGATCTGAGTACTCACCAATACCGATTACTGGTAACGATATTTCTATCACACAAAAAATGATATGAATTGGAATTCAGGTTTTATTTTCTTCTCTGCTTTCAACAGGAAAAGACTGTGAGGTAGATAAAACGTAAAATATATGAATAGAAATTCTCACAAAACTAAAATATTAGGTGAACAGAATTGACAAGTTACAGTGAAGCCCCTTTCAAGCAAATGGATTGGTATCGGTTACTGGTATTGGTTAACTTTTACCGATACCGGTACTGGTATCGGTATTGCTATCGACACAGATTCCAATACCGATACGGGAATCGGTATTGGAATCTGTGCATCCCTAAAAATAAGTACACTTTTCCCAAAAATATTGCTTTGCATAAATGCAGAAACATAACAGACGTGTGTCATGAAATATTGTAAACATTTATTTTTTAATATATTTTTAAAAATATTTTTCTAATCAAGATAAAAACATCACCATAAAAGCATCTATGTGAATCATTGTTAGCTATTTTATGAGGATGTTTTTTTTTTATCAGGCCCCAAACTAGAACCCAAGTTTAAAAAATATTTTTGGCAATTACCAGATACATTTTTATATTACTTTGTTTTTTCTCCGGGTTTTACAATTTTCTCCTGCCTGTCCAGTTTTCTTCAGGTACTGCGATTTTCTAAGGATACTGTAGTTCTTCAACAAGTACTCTTGTTTTCTACAGAAACTCTGATTTACTCCTAACAGTCCAGTTTTCTCCGGGTACTGTGGTTTTCTCCCAGCGCTCCGATTTTTTCCAGGTGGTATTCAGTGGGTACGAAAAGTTTAGACTCCCACCAAATTTTCACTCTTTGTTATATTGCAGCCATTTGCTAAAATCATTTAAATTATATTTTCCTCATTTATGTACACACAGTACCCCATAGGCAGAGTGGCCCATTGGAAGCTTCTCCTCAGTGCAAGACACATCAAAGCCTGCATGGAGTTTGCTAAAAGACACCTGAAGTACCCTGAGATGGTGAGAAATAATATTTTCTGGTCTGATGAGACCAAGATAGAACTTTTTAGTCTTAATTCTAAGTGCTATGTGTGGAGAAAACCAGGCACTGCTCATCACTTGCTCAATACAGTACCCACAGTGAAGCATGGCGGTGGCAGAATCATGTAGTGGGGGTGTTTTTCAGCTGCAGGGACAAGAGGACTGGTTGCAATGGAGGGAACAATGAATGTGGCCAAGTACAGGGATATCCTGGACAAGAACCTTCTCCAGAGTGCTCAGGACCTCAGACTGGGCCGAAGATTTGCCTTCCAACATGACAATGACCCTAAGCACGCGGCTCAAATAACAAAGGAGTGGCTTCATGGCAACTCTGCGGCTGTTCTTGAATGGCCCAACCAGAGCCCTGACTTATCGTGTGTTCCAGTTGTCCTCGAAACTCGGAATTTCCGAGCAGGAAATGATGTAACGGGCTTGTCTTGTGTTCCAGTTTCCAACTCGGAAAAAATGGATGCCACCATTGTTGTTGAGTACTAAACCAAAAGAATTATATAACCAAGCATTCCCCGCACCTAAATAATATTGACACACATGCCCTTCAACAGTCGCCACATACAACCAGAAAAACATTACAATTCAAATGTAAATAAGTAAACGCCAGGGAAAGTACAACCATAAACACCGATCAATTTTGGCAGCAATGTTACATTTTTCAACAGCGTAACTATTAATAACAACAAACAACTTACTGGTGCTGTTAAATAGCAAAAAAAAAAACAAAAAAAAAAACAGAACATATAAATGAGAAGAAAAATGAAGATGATAACTACCTCCTGGTAGCACTGGGCACAGCCACATTTAAAATTTGGGATTTCAGGGTCGTCTGAAACCTATGAGCTCGCAGCTCGGAATTCCGAGTTCATTGCATCATTTTCGGCTAACTTGTCTTGGAAAAATGAATTCCGAGGACAACTGGAACGCACCATTAAACCCAATTCAGCATCTCTGGAGAGACTTAAAAATGGCTGTCCACCAACATTCATCATCCAACCTGACAGACCTGGAGAGGATCCCCAAACCCAGGTATAAGAAACTTGTTGCATCTTTACCAAGAAGACCCATGGCTGTATTAGCTCAAAAAGGTACTTCTACTAAAAACTGAGCAAAGGGTCTGAAGACTTAGTACCGTGTGATTTTTCACTTTTTCTTTTTTAATAAATGTGCAGAAATTTAAAAAATCCTGTGTTTTTATGTCAATATGAATATGGGGTGCTGTGTGTACATTAATGAGGAAAAAATGAATTTCATTGATTTTAGCAAATGGCTGCAATATAACAGAGTGAAAAATTGACGGGGGCCTGAATATTTTCCATACCCACTGTACCTTTCTCCTGGTAATCTGGTTTTGTCTGACATTCTGGTTACTACGGTTGTCCTCTGGCCCACCAGTTTCCTCTAGGTACAACAGTTTTCCTCAAGTTCTCCAGTTTTCTCCTGAAACTCCGGTTGTCAGGATACTATGGGGGCTTTTTCCGAGTCCTCAGGTTTTTCACCTGCTTTTCCAGTTTTGTCCCAAAAGCGTACACAGTTAAGTCTTACACTTGCTGCTATGTTGTCTTGGGTTGTTTGCCATTGGCGGCGTCTGAGATTATGGGTGTTAAAGTTCATCATCTGATGGTGAATTTCACAGAATTAGTTGATGAGGGTTTTCTAGAACTAAAGCTCTTTATGGAGCACACATTGTACTCTCTCATAACCTGGAAGCTTCAATGATTTAATTCAGATATCCGTGGAAGAAAAACATTTTCGGCTCACAAGCATGAACTTTAAGTGACAAGTAGCAAAAAATAAAGAAAAACTCAGTAAAAACGGTGGTCCTTTAATTTAAAACCGCAATTATAGGCAGTGGCGGCTCCAGAAATGTTTTTCTGCAGGTGCTATGAAGGAGCTAGTCTTTTTATTGAGGGTGCTATGAAGGAAGTGGTCATGCGTACCTATTGTTCTCTAAAACACCTTCAACACTAGCAGATACACATGCATGCACAACACCTCAACAACACCTGAAACAATCATTAATTTACATCATAAACATATGAACAATCGCTGACTTTTCCATGAAATCATAAACACATACAGCCACACAGAAAACCATCTATAGTGTTGCAAGGTTAGCTAACATTAGTGTTAGCATTTCCAGCGGCAAAACCCTCGACTGCTGCGGCGGTTGAGGGTTGACTCTCTTCATCCAGATCCGTAGGTTTTTGTGGGTCTGAGATCACTTCCAAAGATTCAATTTGGGCAACAAAAACCGATCCATTTTACCACTAGCTCTACCTTTCAATCGTTCACAGGTGGAAAATGAGGTCAAAGGTTAACATCAATTTCCTGTTTTGGTTTACGTTTGTACTATCTATATGATAATTTACTGATTATTTTTGTTTTGTATGTTAAATATTATCACATCCACACAGTAAACTAAAATTAAACTGTAAAAAAATAATAATAAATCTAATATTTACTTGGGGGTGCAATGATTGATCCAGGGGTAGCTATAGCGCCCCCTAGCGCCCCCCTGGCACCGCCACTGATTATAGGCAGCTTGGGCATACCAAAACGTCTGTGCTATCTCCAACCTGCTTTCTATGCTCATGAGTAATGTTGTAAGTCTTGATGTTACGAAGCCGTGAACTATCTGCATGTTTCGTCTAGAGGATGGATTTAACTTTGGCGCCTCAACTTGAAGAAACATTTCACCACAGAGGTCACCTGGTTGTTTCAGCTGTGGGTCATTCTTAACACTCTGGTTTGTTATGGTAGTTTTCTCTAAAGCCTGAGTCATGCTTCTGCGTCAGCTCCACAAGGGACAGACACGCACAAATTGACTGAAGCGTTTTGCTCTCATACTTCCCCATTTGCTGAAGGGGTGTTGCAAAACAATTCCCCGCCATGACAACAGAGAGCGTAGCGTAGGTAGCGGTACAGTGACGTTACTACTTCTGTGGAAATCACTTCTGCGGTATGAAAAATGGCAAGCAACACAAGAAAGAGAAGTTTGATCGAGCTGGAACTGTGTGATCTAGACAAAGAAATGCTAATCTTGCTGAAATACCAGCGAGTGCAAAAAAGGAGGCAGCGGTGTCGGTGGGATGTCCGACCGCCAAACCGGTCTTTGATCGGACGTGATCTCAGGTTTCTGGACCGATCAACCACAAGCATGCGTTCGCCGTCTCGTTCGACGGATGTTAAGAACAGTGGGCTCGACTTGGTATGTACTTGCGTGCCTGCGGGGGGCCTACGCAAGGACAGATAATGGTGTTGCGTGTCTCTGCACTGATGCAGTCATCGCAGAAGCATGACTCAGGCTGAAGGCTGCAAGGGGTGAATTGTCAGACTGTAGGGCCTCCCAAAGTTACACAAAACCACATGACTTCAGTCTTATCATAACTCCTTAGTTTTATCCTCGTTATATAATTGAGCATTTTCTTAACGTTTTTAATTATGTTCAACATCTGACGCGTATTGTGCCGCGTTTACTGTTGTAAATGTGTTATATAAATAAACTTGACCTTGACCTTTACAGAATTCTGAGCCATCCGTTTCTAATGCCAGTAAAACAATACAACAGAGGCTGAGGATGCCTTTATTTGGGATGCAGATCTTACAATCAACCGTGTAAAGGTGAAGAATATTGAGAACCACTTACATTCATGAAAAAAAATAGTCAAATTACCACAGTTCTTTTCTTTCATTTGTCATTTTTTTTCCAGGTTTTGATCCTCCGCACAAATGTACTTGATATACTCAGTATTTGCTTGAGCAATCAGATCTCAGTTCCACTAACTTGTTCCTTTTAGTGGATCTCACCCTTCAATCTGTGTAAAACCATGAGATCATTCTTCTTTTTGGTTCTGGACTTCACAGTTTGATGACATGTCCACAGTGAATGTCATCATCACTGCCCATTTAACCCAAATATAACCCCCCTGGAAGTGATCTCATCTGTGAATTTCATTAGTTTTCACATTTTCTTGAAAAATGTTCTGGTTTTACATTAATTCAGAGAAATAAAGACAACCTGCACAGTTTGAATTTGCTCGTATTAAAACTATTCTCATCACAGTGTTGCAATATTTACTGCAGATCCTGCTAAATTTAAATTTTATGAATAATTCCAAACCAGAATCCTAATCTCAGAAAAACTCAAACGCAGAGAAATAGTTTGTCCTTAAGACTAATGAGCTAATGGCTCCTCTAAATGGAGCTAAAACAAAAATGTATCCAAGTCGTCTTAAAAATTAATTATTAGCTTTTAGAAACTCCAGTAAAATTGACGATTGAAGACATTTGAAGAGGTCACCGATAATCAAAATCAGAATCAGATTTATTGCCATGTAGGCGAGAGGCTCATCTACTAGGAATTTGTTTCGGTGGCAGGGTGCTAACCATCGACATATATACTGGACAATTCGTTTCCATAGACTCCAATAATAAGTTTTTAAGCCAAAATGGGAGGTTCCCACCACCGCCATTTTGACCATGTCACAAGTTCCGTCAAGCCCAGACAATTCCACAAAAGGGAAAAGAGGTGGAGCTGAGGGTGGGGCTGTAAGGCTGGGATCAAATGACGACACCCACCGAACTGAAGCGACAAGCTAATCCAAAGCTAACACGGAGGTGGGAGCTAAGCTAATAGAGGTAGCTACGTAGCTACAACTGGAGTTAAATGTGCACAACACCAGAGCTTCTGAGTTGCAGATACGCCGGGATGACCGCTGGGTAAAACCGGGTGGTACACAGAGATCTCCAGAGAGCTCCACAAGCCGGCAGCCGCGCGGAAGACAGGCGCCGCTGCGATCAGAGATACGCCGGGCTGACCGCTGGGTAAAACCGGGTGGTACACAGAGATCTCCAGAGAGCTCCACAAGCCGGCAGCCGCGCGGAAGACAGGCGCCGCTGCGATCAGAGATACGCCGGGCTGACCGCTGGGTAAAACCGGGTGGTACACAGAGATCTTCCGAGAGCTCCACAAGCCGGCAGCCGCGCGGAAGACAGGCGCCGCTGCGATCAGAGATGCGCTGAGCTGCCGCTGAGGGGAGGGAGTCCATACCGATAGTCGGAGCCCAGCTCCACCAACATGTTATATTTCAACCCATTTTCAAAAATGCAGCGTTATGTTAAATGCGCTGGGTTTTACCCTATTACTTTTAAAATTCATGGTTAAACAGGTCCTGTTGGCTTCATCAGAACGTGATCTTCAGCTTTCGCTGGAGCGGTTTGCAGCCGAGTGTGAAGCAGCTGTGATGAGAATCACCTCCTCTAAATCTGAGACCATGGTCTTGAGTCAGAAAAGGGTAGAATGCCTTCTCCAGGTCAGGGAGGAGGTCCTGTCCCAAGTGGAGGAGTTTAAGTATCTCGGGGTCTTGTTCATGAGTGAGGGAAAGCTGGAGCCTGAGATCGATAGGTGGATTGGTGCTGCATCTGCAGTGATGCGGGCGTTGTACCGGTCTGTCGTGGTGAAGAGAGAGCTGAGTCAGAAGGTGAAGCTCTCGATTTACCGGTCGATCTACGTTCCTACCCTCACCTATGGTCACGAGCTTTGGGTAGTGACCGAAAGAACGAGATCGCGGGTACAAGCGGCCGAAATGAGTTTTCTCCGAAGAGTGGCTGGGCTCTCCCTTAGAGATAGGGTGAGAAGCTCGGTCATCCGGGAGGGGCTCGGAGTAGACCCGCTGCTCCTCCACATCGAGAGGAGCCAGTTGAGGTGGCAAGGGCAGGATGCCTCCTGGACGCCTCC